TGGACAGTGATGGGATGGGGACAGGGATGGGATGGGGACAGGGATGGGATGGGATGAGGATGGGGTACAGGGATGGGATGAGGTACAGTGATGGGATGGGGATGGGACAGTGATGGGATGGGGATGGGGACAGGGATGGGATGGGGATGGGACAGTGATGGGATAGGGACAGGGATGGATGGGATGAGGATGGGGTACAGGGATGGGATGGGATGCCAATGGGGTTGGGGACGGAGTGGGGTGCTAATGGGGTTTGGGGTGGGATGGGAGGCCAATGGGGTTGGGGATGGAGTGGGGTGCTAATGGGGTTTGGGGTGGGATGGGATGCCAATAGGGTTGGGGATGGAGTGGGGTGCTAATGGGGTTTGGGGTGGGGTAGGGTGCCAATGGGGCTGGGGATGGAGTGGGGTGCTAATGGGGTTTGGGGTGGGATGGGATGCCAATGGGGTTGGGGATGGAGTGGGGTGCTAATGGGGTTTGGGATGGGGTAGGGTGCCAATGGGGTTGGGGATGGAGTGGGGTGCTAATGGGGTTTGGGGTGGGATGGGATGCCAATGGGGTTGGGGATGGAGTGGGGTGCTAATGGGGTTTGGGGTGGGGTAGGGTGCCAATGGGGTTGGGGATGGAGTGGGGTGCTAATGGGGTTTGGGGTGGGATGGGATGCCAATGGGGTTGGGGATGGAGTGGGGTGCTAATGGGGTTTGGGTTGGGATGGGATGCCAATGGGGTTGGGGATGGAGTGGGGTGCTAATGGGGTTTGGGGTGGGATGGGATGCCAATGGGGTTGGGGACGGAGTGGGGTGCTAATGGGGTTTGGGGTGGGATGGGATGCCAATGGGGTTGGGGATGGAGTGGGGTGCTAATGGGGTTTGGGGTGGGATGGGATGCCAATGGGGTTGGGGATGGAGTGGGGTGCTAATGGGGTTTGGGGTGGGGTAGGGTGCCAATGGGGTTGGGGATGGAGTGGGGTGCTAATGGGGTTTGGGTTGGGATGGGATGCCAATGGGGCTGGGGATGGAGTGGGGTGCTAATGGGGTTTGGGGTGGGATGGGATGCCAATGGGGTTGGGGACGGAGTGGGGTGCTAATGGGGTTTGGGGTGGGATGGGATGCCAATGGGGTTGGGGACGGAGTGGGGTGCTAATGGGGGTTTGGGGTGGGATGGGATGCCAATGGGGTTGGGGACGGAGTGGGGTGCTAATGGGGTTTGGGGTGGGATGGGATGGGGTTGGGGATGGAGTGGGGTGCTAATGGGGTTTGGGGTGGGATGGGATGCCAATGGGGTTGGGGATGGAGTGGGGTGCTAATGGGGTTTGGGGTGGGATGGGATGCCAATGGGGTTGGGGATGGAGTGGGGTGCTAATGGGGTTTGGGGTGGGATGGGATGCCAATGGGGTTGGGGATGGAGTGGGGTGCTAATGGGGTTTGGGGTGGGATGGGATGCCAATGGGGTTGGGATGGAATGGGGTGCTAATGGGGTTTGGGGTGGGATGGGATGCCAATGGGGTTGGGGATGGAGTGGGGTGCTAATGGGGTTTGGGGTGGGATGGGATGCCAATGGGATTGGGGATGGAGTGGGGTGCTAATGGGGTTTGGGGTGGGATGGGATGCCAATGGGGTTGGGGACGGAGTGGGGTGCTAATGGGGTTTGGGGTGGGATGGGATGCCAATGGGGTTGGGGATGGAGTGGGGTGCTAATGGGGTTTGGGGTGGGATGGGATGCCAATGGGGTTGGGGATGGAGTGGGGTGCTAATGGGGTTTGGGGTGGGATGGGATGCCAATGGGGTTGGGGACGGAGTGGGGTGCTAATGGGGTTTGGGGTGGGATGGGATGCCAATGGGGTTGGGGATGGAGTGGGGTGCTAATGGGGTTTGGGGTGGGATGGGATGCCAATGGGGTTGGGGATGGAGTGGGGTGCTAATGGGGTTTGGGGTGGGATGGGATGCCAATGGGGTTGGGGATGGAGTGGGGTGCTAATGGGGTTTGGGGTGGGATGGGATGCCAATGGGGTTGGGGATGGAGTGGGGTGCTAATGGGGTTTGGGGTGGGATGGGATGCCAATGGGGTTGGGGATGGAGTGGGGTGCTAATGGGGTTTGGGGTGGGGTAGGGTGCCAATGGGGTTGGGGATGGAGTGGGGTGCTAATGGGGTTTGGGGTGGGGTAGGGTGCCAATGGGGTTGGGGATGGAGTGGGGTGCTAATGGGGTTTGGGATGGGGTAGGGTGCCAATGGGGTTGGGGATGGAGTGGGGTGCTAATGAGGTTTGGGATGGGGTAGGGTGCCAATGGGGTTGGGGATGGAGTGGGGTGCTAATGGGGTTTGGGATGGGGTAGGGTGCCAATGGGGTTGGGATGGAGTGGGGTGCTAATGGGGTTTGGGGTGGGGTAGGGTACCAATGGGATTGGGGATGGAGTGGGGTGCTAATGGGGTTTGGGATGGGGTAGGGTGCCAATGGGGTTGGGGATGGAGTGGGGTGCTAATGGGGTTTGGGGTGGGGTAGGGTGCCAATGGGGTTGGGGATGGAGTGGGGTGCTAATGGGGTTTGGGATGGGGTAGGGTGCCAGTAGGATTGGGGACAGAGTGGGGTGCTAATGGGGTTTGGGATGGGGTAGGGTGCCAATGGGGTTTGGGAGGCGATGCCAGTGGGATTTGGGTTGTGTTTGAGATGCCAATGGGGTTTGGGATGGGCTGGCATGCAATGGTATTTGGGATGGGATGTCAATGGGATTTGGGATAAGGTGGGATCCAGTGGGGTTGGGGATGGAATGCCGGGGGGGGGGGGGGGGGGGTGTTGGATGGAGTAGGATTCCAATGGGGTAGGGTTCCAACGGGATTTAGGATTAAATGCCAATGGGATTTGGGATGCGGTGGGATCCAGTGGGGTTAGGGATGGAATGCCAATGGGATTTGGGATGAGGTGGAATCCAATGGTGTATGGGATGGAATGCCACTGAGGTTTGGGATGGGGTAGGGTTCCAGTGGGGTCAGGGCTGGAATGCCGATGGGATTTGGGGTGGGGGACTGCTGCTGGGGGACATGGGGCCCCCCTTTGCATGCCCCCCCTCTCCCCACAGAGCCGGCCAAGCAGATCCTGCAGCACCTGGGTGCGCAAGGTGAGCAGCCCGGGCGCCGGCACCCCTGGGTGCAGGCAGTGGGGCAGGGGGTGCTCTTTGGGTCCTGCCCCCCAACCCCCCCCCCCCAACTTCCCCTTTGCTCTCTCTTGCAGGCCTCAAGGTAAGGCTGCAGTGGGGGGGTGCTTGGGGTGCGCGGTGCCCCCCAGCCTTGGCGCACCGGGGCCGTGGTGCTGAGCCCGGTGCTCCCCCCCCAACCCCGGTAGCACGCGGGCAGCGATGGGGCTCTGCTGGCAATGGGGGAGCCCCCCCAGCACCCCCGGGCCTGGGCAGCGCCTGAGGGGCTGGTGGAGGAGGAAGAGGAGCAGGAGGAAGAGGAGGACGTGGGCAGGGACGGTCCCGAGGAGCTGCCTGGGGCCCAGGAGCTGCTGGGGGAGCCCCATGAGGAGCAGGTACCCCAAAACCCAAGGGGGGGGGGGGCACCCACTGGGAGCGGTACCACAGGGCACCCATATCACTCCCAGAGCACCCCATGTCACTCCTGGGGCACCCCATGGTGTCCCTAGGGCACCCAGCATCAGCCCTGTAGCACCCAGCATCACTCCTGGGGCACCCCATGTTGTTCCTAGGGCACCCAGCATCAGCCCTGTAGCACTCAGCATCACTCCTGGGCACCCCACATCAGTCCTGGGGCACCCAGCATCAGTCCTAGGACAACCCATGTTGTTCCCAGGGCACCCACATCATTCCTGGAGCATCCCCCGTTGCTCTGCGGAGCATCCTGTATCACTTCTGGGGTACCCAGCATCGCTTCCAGAGCGCCCTGCATCGCTCTTGGGGCACCCCAAGCGCACTCTGGGGTCCTCAGCCATGGTTTGGCTGTGACTGATCCCCCCCCCCCCCCCCCCCAATTTGTTGTCCCCAGGCCGGGGAGCACCCACCGGTACCGGAGCCACCCAAGCGCCCCAGCAGCTGGGGCCCGGGGAGCCGCGAGAAGGTGGGTGCAGCCCCACAGCCCCGTGCCGGGGGTCCCGATGGGCCCAGCACCCACCCCGTGCCCCCTCGGCAGGCCGGCAGCGCCGGGGAGCCCCCCCACCCCGAGGTGTCGGGGGCACCCAAAGCCCCATCCTCGATGGGGACCCCGGCGCCGCCGCGGGGTGCAGAGGATTTGCAGGTGCTGAGCAGCGAGGAAGAGGAGGAGGAGGAAGAGGAGGAGGAGGATGGGGGCCCGGGCAGCATCCTGCCGCCCTCGGTGCTGGACCAGGCCAGCATCATCGCCGAGCGCTTCGGAGGCGGAGGGAGCCTGTCCCGGCGGAGCAGCGTGGCCATGGAGGGGCCGTTGGCGCGGCCGGGCAGCCCCGGCGGCAGCGGCCTCGGCCCGGATGGATGCGGACCCCCCCCCATTGAAAGCGGGGAGCCCGGGGGGGGCTCCCCCAGGGCCGTGCCTTCCCCAGAGCCCTTGCCCGGAGCCCGCCGGGCCTCGCTGCTCTCCAACCGGGACCGTTTGCTCCTGGATAAGATCCGCGCTTACTACGGCAGCGCCGAGCACCGCGACGGCGGCGGCTTCAGCGTCCGGCGCAGGGAGAGCCTGTCCTTCATCCCCAAGGGGCTGGTGAGGAGCTCCGTGTCCCGCTTCAACAGCCTCCCGCTGCCCCCCGGCAGCCCGGAGCCCCCCAAGCATCCGGTGCCGCTGTGGGCCGTGGTGGGCCCGGGGGAGCTGTGCCACGAGAATGGGGTCCAGAGCCCCAGGACTGGGAGGCAGAGCCCTGAAAATAGGGTGCAGAGCCCTGAGCGTGGGGTCCGGAGCCCCAGAAATGAGATCCAGACCCCCAAGAACGGGATGCAGACGCTGGGGAGCAGGATCCAGACCTATGAAAACAGCATCCAGAGCCCTGAGCGTGGGGTCCAGACCCCCAAAAATGGGATGCAGACGCTGGAGAACAGGATCCAGACCCCCAGGAATGGGATCCAGACCCCTGAGAACAGGATCCAGAGCCCTGAGCATGGGATCCAGACCCCCAGGAATGGGATCCAGACCCCTGAGAACAGGATCCAGAGCCCTGAGCATGGGGTCCAGACCCCCAGGAATGGGATCCAGACCCCTGAGAACAGGATCCAGAGCCCTGAGCATGGGGTCCAGAGCCCCAGGAATGGGATCCAGACCCCTGAGAACAGGATCCAGAGCCATGAAAACAGGATCCAGAGCCCCGAGCATGGGGTCCAGAGCCCCAGGAATGGGATGCAGCCCCCTGAGAGCGGGATGCAGACCCCTGAGCATGGGGTCCAGAGCCCCAAGAATGGGATGCAGAACCCCAGGAATGGGATGCAGATGCTGGAGAACAGGATTCAGAGCCCCGGGAATGGGATGCAGAGCCCCAGGAGCGGGATGCAGCCCCCTGAGAGCGGGATGCAGACCCCTGAGCATGGGGTCCAGAGCCCCAGGAATGGGACCCAGAGCCCCAGGAGTGGGATGCGGCCCCCTGAGAGTGGGATGCAGACGCTGGAGAACAGGATGCAGCCCCCCGAGAGCGGGATGCAGAGCCCCAGGAGCGGGATGCAGACCCCTGAGCATGGGGTCCAGAGCCCCAGGAGCGGGATGCAGCCCCCGGAGCCGCTCCTCATCCTGGAGGACGATGACTTGGCCCCGGGGGCTGTGCCCCCCGCCCGGCCGGCCGGCACCAGGGTGTACCGGCTGGCTCGGCAGTACAGCCTCCGCATCAAGAGCCGCCGCTGCGGGCCCCACCGCTCCCCGCTGCCCCCGTCCCCGGACGGCGCCGGCTCCTCCGAGCCTTTCCCTTGGCCGGACGTGCGGGAGCTCCGCGCCCGCTTCGGTGCCGCTCGGCCGCCGCCCGTAACCCGGAGCCGCTCCGCACCGGAGGGGCCGGACCGGGCCGGGCGCCCGGCAGCGAAGGAGCGCGGAGGCGGCGGCCGCAGCCGCAGCGCCGAAGCCGGGGAGGGACCCAGCGCCCACGGCGGCCGTGGGGCCCTGTGGGTGGCGGCGGAGGCGGCGCTCGGGGCCGGGCAGCGGGTGCTGGTGCTGGAGAAGGGGCCGGCGCCCCACGCCGAGCCCCACAGCTACGTGCAGATCCGGTCCCCCACCACCAGGGAGAAGATCTGCCTGAAGGCCGTGGTGGAGCGGTGTAAAGCGTACCAGGGCTCCCAGGAGTACCGGCGGCGCTGCGCTGAGTCCCACGGAGCGGCTCGGAACCCGGGAGCAGCACAGACCCATGGAGCAGCACAGACCCATGGAGCAGCACAGACCCACGGAGCAGAACAGCCCCATGGAGCAGCACAGCCCCATGGAGCAGCACAGCCCCATGGAGCAGCACAGCCCCATGGAGCAGCACAGCCCCATGGAGCAGCACAGACCCATGGAGCAGCACAGACCCATGGAGCAGAACAGACCCATGGAGCAGCACAGACCCATGGAGCAGCACAGACCCATGGAGCAGCACAGACCCATGGAGCAGCACAGACCCATGGAGCAGCACAGACCCATGGAGCAGCACAGACCCATGGAGCAGAACAGACCCATGGAGCAGCACAGACCCATGGAGCAGCACAGACCCATGGAGCAGCACAGACCCATGGAGCAGCACAGCCCCATGGAGCAGAACAGCCCCACGGAGCAGCACAGCCCCATGGAGCAGCACAGACCCATGGAGCAGCACAGACCCATGGAGCAGCACAGACCCATGGAGCAGCACAGACCCATGGAGCAGAACAGCCTGCTGGAGCATCACCTCCTCCTGGAGCATCACTGCCCCATGGAGCATCACCTCCTCCTGGAGCATCACTGCCCCATGGAGCATCACTGCATCCTGGAGCATCACTGCCCCATGGAGCATCACTGCCTCCTGGAGCATCACTGCCCTCCGGAGTATCTCAGCCCCACGGAGCATCACAGCCCTCCGGAGCATCACAGCCTGCTGGAACATCACTGCCCCATGGAGCAGCACAGCCCTCCGGAGTATCTCAGACCCATAGAGCATCACAGCCTGCTGAAGCATCACTGCCCCATGGAGCTTCACAGCCCTCTGGAGTATCTCAGCCCCATGGAGCATCACAGCCCCCCGGTGCCCCGCAGCCCCCCAGGCATGGCCTTGTCAGGGACCTAAGGCAGAAGTTTCAGAGCCTCGACGCCGCCAGCTAAGGGGAGGAAAAGGGGAGATGGGGAGAAACGTGGACCGGAGGGAAGGGGCGCCCAGCAATGGATGCTCAGGGGAGCCCCATGGACCTGTAACGTACGTGGCAGAAGGGGGACCCCATGGAGGTGCAGCTCAGCAAGGAAAAGGGATGCCCTATGGACCTCCATCCTACCTGGAAGAAGGGGCACCCCATGGACCCCAGCCTGCCCAGGAGAAGGGGGACCCCGTGGACCCTGAGCTCACCTAGGGGAAACAGCATCCTATGGACCCCCAACCTGCCCAGGAGAAGGGGGACCCCATGGACCTCCAACCTATGTGGAAAAGGGGGTACCCCATGGATCCCCGACTTGCCCAGGAGCAGGGGCACCCCATGGACCCCCAACCTACCTGGAAAAAGGGACCCCCAGGTTACCCAGGAGAAGGAGCACCCCATGGACCCCCAACCCAGCAAGGACAAGGGGCAGCCAATGGACCCCCAGATTGCTTGGGGGAAGCAGGACCCCCAGGGAGTGGGGTCACCCCATGTCCCCCATCCCCCCCCTCAGCGCTGCACCCCCGCTCGCTTTCACATCTTTATTATCAAAAATCCAACAAAAAAACCCAAATCTGAACCAAAAGTTCCTCTCTGGTCACCCCCATCCCCTCGGGGTGCTGGGAGGGGGGGGTCCCCATACCCCAATGGGGGGGGGGGGGAGAAGACACGGGGAGGTGGGGTGATGGTGAGCGGTGCCCCCCATGCCGATGCTCTTTGGTTGGTGCCCATGGGTGCCCCCTCTGCACCCATGCAGTGTGTGTGTGGGGGGGTATGGCTTGAGGGGGCACCCATGGGAGCCCCCCAAGTGGGTGCTGGGGGGGGGGGGGGGGCATGGCCGTGGGTGCTCCTGCATGCGGGGACACGCGTGTGTGCATGCAGGGACACGTGTGCAATGGAGGGGGGGTGTGGGGGGCACACGCGTGTGCCTGCCGTCAAGCATGTCGAGGAGGAGAGATGGAAACGCCTGTATACACGCGTGTGCGCGGACGCGTGTTGCACGCACACGCGTGTGCTGCTGTACATGGAGGGAACCCGCACACGTGTGTGCTGCTGTACATGTAGGGAGCCCGCACACGCGTGTGCTGCTGTACATGGAGGGAGCCCGCACACGCGTGTGCTGCTGTACATGGAGGGAGCCCGCACACGCGTGTGCTGCTGTACATGGAGGGGGGGAGCCCACACACGCGTGTGCTGCTGTACATGGAGGGAGCCCGCACACGCGTGTGCTGCTGTACATGGAGGGAGCCCACACACGTGTGTGCTGCTGTACATGGAGGGGGGGAGCCCACACACACGTGTGCTGCTGTACATGGAGGGAGCCCGCACACGTGTGTGCTGCTGTACATGGAGGGGGGGAGCCCACACACACGTGTGTGCTGCTGTACATGGAGGGAGCCCACACACACGTGTGCTGCTGTACATGGAGGGAGCCCGCACACGCGTGTGCACCGAGCGCCGGGGCTGCAGGAGCACTTGGGCTGTCCCCAGGGATGCGGCCGCAGGGATAACGCGCGTGTCCCCATCACACGCGTGTCCGTGCCCACGCGTGTCCCCATCACACGCGTGTGGGTCCGTGTTCCCCCCCCGGGGATGGGGGGGGTCATTTCTTCTTGGGGAAGAAGCTGAAGCGTTTCTCCTTGTCCCTGCGGGGCAGGGGGCCCGCGGGGGGAGCCGCGGCCGGGGGCAGGCTCTGAGCCTTGCCCCGCCAGCCCTGGCACTCGCCGATGGCCGCGCTCAGCCCCTGCAGCCAGGCCTGCAGCTCCTCCTGGGGGCACGGGCACCGCGTTAAAGGGGGGGGGGGTCCGGCTGCCCCACAGCTCCCACAGACACCCCATGGGTACCACCAGCCCCACACCACATCCTGATGGCGTCCTTGGTTACCCATGGTTCCCTGGGTACCACCAGCCCCACACCGCATCCTGACGGCATCCTTGGTTCCCCCATGGTTCCCTGGGTACCACCAGCCACCTGTGTCCTCCCAAGCATCACCAGCCCCACACCATGTCCTGATGGCAGCTACTGACACCCCATGGCCCCTGGGTACCACCAGCCCCACACTGTATCCTGATGGCATCTTTGGTTACCCCATGGTTCCCTGGGTACCACCAGCCCCACACCGCTTCCTGACGGCATCCTTGGTTCCCCATGGTTCCCTGGGTACCACCAGCCCCACACCGCTTCCTGACGGCATCCTTGGTTCCCCATGGTTCCCTGGGTACCACCAGCCACCTGTGTCCTCCCAAGCATCACCAGCCCCTTCCACGTCTTTATGGCACCCCCGGCCACCCCATGTTCCCCTGGGTACCACCAGCCCCACACCACATCCTGATGGCATCCTTGGTTCCCCATGGTTCCCTGGGTGCCACCAGCCCCACACCGCATCCTGACGGCATCCTTGGTTCCCCCATGGTTCCCTGGGTACCACCAGCCCCACACCGTGGCCTGATGGCATCCTTGGTTCCCCATGGCCCCTGGGTACCACCAGCCACCTGTGTCCTCCCAAGCATCACCAGCCCCTTCCACATCTTTATGGCACCCCCGGCCACCCCATGTTCCCCTGGGTACCACCAGCCCCACACCACATCCTGATGGCATCCTTGGTTCCCCATGGTTCCCTGGGTACCACCAGCCCCACACCGTGGCCTGATGGCATCCTTGGTTCCCCATGGCCCCTGGGTACCACCAGCCACCTGTGTCCTCCCAAGCATCACCAGCCCCACACCATGTCCTGATGGCAGCTACTGACACCCCATGGCCCCTGGGTACCACCAGCCCCACACCATGTCCTGATGGCATCTTTGGTTACCCCATGGTTCCCTGGGTACCACCAGCCCCACACCGCTTCCTGACGGCATCCTTGGTTCCCCATGGTTCCCTGGGTACCACCAGCCCCACACCACATCCTGATGGCATCCTTGGTTTCCCATGGTTCCCTGGGTACCACCAGCCCCACACCGTGGCCTGATGGCATCCTTGGTTCCCCATGGCCCCTGGGTACCACCAACCCCACACCATGTCCTGATGACATCCTTGGTTACCCCATGGCCCCTGGGTACCACCAGCCCCACACCATATCCTGATGACATCCTTGGTTACCCCATGGCCCCTGGGTACCACCAGCCCCACACCATATCCTGATGGCATCCCTGGTTACCCCTTGGCCCCTGGGTACCACCAGTGTCCCCTGGGGACCACCCCCCCCCCCATATCCCCCTGGGCACCACCGGACCCCTCTGCATGCCCCAGCTCAGCACCGAGCACCCCGTGTGCCCCGGGTACCCCTCACCTCATCCTTGCCATGGAAGAGCCACTCGCTGCCATTGCTGAGCCTGGGGACAGAGCACAGTGTGTGCCACCCCACAGCACCCCAGAACAGCCCAGAGCACCCCTTAACACCCTGTACCACTCCGTAACAGCCCATAACAGCCCTTACCACCCCATAACATCCCATAGCACCCTATAACACCCCATAACACCCCATAGCACCCCATAACACCCCATAACACCCCATAACACCCCATAGCGCTCCATACCACAACACTCCATTTCACCTCATACCACCCCGTAACACCCCGTAGCACCCCATACCACCCAATACCGCCCCATAACACCCCATACCATGCCATAGCACCCCGTACCATCCCATACCACCCTGTACTCCCCCATAGCACCCCATACCACCCCATAACACCCCATACCACCCCATAACATCCCATAGCAACCCATACCACCCCATACCATCCCATAGCAACCCATACCACCCCATAAAACCCCATACCACCCCATAACATCCCATAGTAACCCGTACCACCCCATACCACCCCATAACATCCCATAGTAACCCATACCACCCCATACCACCCCATACCATCCCATACACCCCATACCACCCCGTACACCCCATTCCACCCCATACCACCCATATGACCCCATACCACCCCATAGCACCCCATAACGTCCCATAGCAACCCATACCACCCCATACCATCCCATACACCCCATACCACCCCGTACCACCCTGTACCACCCATACGACCCCATACCACCCCATAGCACTCCATAACACATCATAACAGCCCATAGCACCCCATAACACCCCATAACAGCCCATACCACCCCATACCATCCCATACACCCCATACCACCCATACGACCCCATACGACCCCATACCACCCCATAACGTCCCATAGCAACCCATACCACCCTATACCATCCCATACACACCATACCACCCCGTACCACCCCGTACCACCCATACGACCCCATACCACCCCATAGCTCTCCATAACACATCATAACAGCCCATAGCACCCCATAACGTCCCATAGCAACCCATACCACCCCATACCACCCAGTACCATCCCATACACCCCATAGCACCCCCTGCACCCCACCCCACAGCACCCGGGCTGTACCTGAGCTTGAAGACGTGCTTCTTCTTCTTGTAGCCGGCGGCCACCTGGCAGGAGGCGTCCTGCAGCCCCAGGGGCTCCTCGCCGTGGCAGGGCAGCCCCAGCGCCCGGCTCTTGGCATCCTTGAAGAAGGCGAGCTGCCCCCCCCGCAGCACGCAGTACCGCGTGTTCCAGGACCTGCGCCACGGCGCTCCGTCACCGCCATTGCCATCAACGCCATCAACACCATCATCATCATCATCAACACCATCGCCATCATCACCATCATCAGCACCATCATCAACACCATCATCACCACCATCACCATCATCGTCACCATCAACACCATCGCCATCATCAACGCCATCACCACCATCACCATCATCATCACCATCACCACCATCACCATCATCATCACCATCAACATCATCACCATCATCAACACCATCACCATCATCATCATCACCATAAACACCATCACCACCATCATCATCACCATCATCAACACCATCGTCGTCATCATCACCATCATCAACACCATCACCATCATCAACATCATCACCATCATCACCATCATCATCATCATC